TATATATATATATATATATATATATATGTGCGTGTGTGTGTATATATACATATATATATATAATATATATTGTATTGTGTATGTGTGTGTGTATATATATATAGAAATTTTTCTGAGAGAGACATTTGCATCCTTTTTAAAAACTAGTTAAGAAATCTTTTTCTCGTTAATATTTTCTAAAAGTTGTGGTTTATATTATAAAACACTATTTCTCCTTTCTTTCTCTGCCCAAAAAAGCATGTAAATGACAGTACGAGAATTTCTTCTTGTTTTTCAATAATTGTGACAAATTTCATAAATTGTTGTTATAAATTAATTCGGTATAACTTCTCTATGTATAAATGTAGTTTCTTTTAATACATAAATCAATAACCGCGGTTGATTATCCATCGCAAATGCACAATTGGAATAAAAAAGGTTTTTCTAGCTAGACATAATACACCATCAGATAACATATTTATTGTGAAGACGGTGCTCCTTGAGACACGGCATTGAGCAAAAGCGATTGGCGTTGTACTCAAAAGGCTCCTTGTTGGTCATATCAATGGCGCATTGGAAGCACCGCGAGATTACAGTGTATCCTTCGCTTAACATCCGATTCTGCACAACTAATGCTCTCTACGTAACAAACCAAAAGAAGTAAAATATCAAATCTGCTAAACAAAATGCTAAACAAAAATTAAGAAATGACATGTTAATTATTAAAGAACACTTTAACATTCGCACCTTTTCTTTGTCGCTGAGATTAAGGAATCTCTGCTTTTCGTTTTCCTCCTGCTTTTTCAGTTCGAATTCCTTCCTCTTAATTTTTTCCTTGAATCGTTTCAATTTCCGTTGTTGCCTCTTTTTCTCCACCTCCGCTTGCTCTATCTCATCGCTAAGTGGCCCAGGTATTTGAGACTGTCAAATAATATATAAATTTATTAAAATAGTTTTTAAATAACAAAGCTATGTTTGTTTTGATATTGATGCAATATTCTGTTATAAATAATACCTTTTGATAGTTAAATTTGTCCGGGTTAACTTCCATAAATCTTCTAAACATATTTCTAGTCTTTTTATCGTTAGCAGCAGCATAAGGTGTCTGTAGCTTTTTATTTTTATTGCAGGGATCGGATCCGCTTTGTAGCAACAACCTAAGGACAAATCGTTACATAAAAGTTGCCCAAAATTGGCGCAATTTTTTAAAATATTTAAGTTGTAGTAAACTCTCTCCATAATAAATTACAATAATACGTACCATACTTGTTCGCAGTGTCCACCAAGTGCCGCTAAATGCAACATTGTATTGCCGTCCTCATTGACATCATTAACCAATTTCGCTACGTCAGCCGTGTTTACGGAAGTATCATTAGACGTCATGCAATCAATTGCAACATCTTTTTTATTTTGTTCCTCCTTGCACTCTTTAATTTTGGTTAACAGATCATTGATGACTGAGGATAATAGATCGTTATCGCCTTGCTTACATGCAGTCCATAGCTTGGTTCTAGCATTTAACAATACTTCATTGATTATCTGGGCTAGAAATAATACAATATAAAACACTTTAAGAAATGATAAAATATGTGTTGATAAAATGTTTCTCTACCCAACTTTAAAGAGAAAGGAATTTTTCTTTATATTTAAACTATCTATATATATATAATATGTATTTTTTCGTATTCTTGAATTATTGCAACAAGTTGCAAAATGTCACAAATTAATTTGGTACAGAAGTCATCTATTAAATAACCTTACCATCCTTTTTCACCTTTTTCTTCTGCCGATTAGCTTTCTTGTTTTTCATGTATTTTGGCACAGTATCCTGAAAAGATTGCAAACTCTCAGAAAAATCTACTTCGACAGTTTGTTCAACCAAAGGAGCGTCCAGTGGAAGTTGCGCATCTATTTCTGATTCAGAGGATGATTGAGCTAATCTAACAATAATATCTGTAAAATAACGAAATCCTCTATATCAGCAATCCAATAAAAATACATGTGTGTAAAAAAGTATAATTTAAATATATTTATATAAACGATGATCACATATTTAAACAGTAAGTACAACATTTTTGGTACAGAAAAAACATTCTATAATTATTTATGGTTCATATTAATAACATTTACCTGGCAGCGGCCGATTCCGACTTTTCCTCGGTTTCGCTCTGTCTATATGACGGGAATTCCGATGCTGCTTCTCTGGTGTAGACTGTGCGGGTGTTTTAAACTTATCATTCTCCTGGAGACTATTGCTAGTACCTATGTTAGAATTACATTCGGCAACGACGTCTCCTTCTGGTATTTCGCTCATTATTTCCGGTTTCGAAACTTTCTTACGCGTGGGTTGTCGCGGAGAGTTGGGAAAACAATCGGTGAAATCCGCTGCTGAGCCTGACATAAATAGTATTTAAGTATTTTAAAGTATATTAACAGTATATATTAAATTTAGAAGATAAATAATCGTTTACCATAAATCTCCATGGTGCTCACTACATCGTATACCCTCTTGACTTCTCTAAACGTGGCTCTACGCGTGGGAAATGGCAGTGGTCTTATTCTAAAATTGTTCTTATCTAAGGGGGGATTCTTGCCGCCAAAGAGAACCATGCGATTGTGCGGTCCAACTGCTCGATACAAGACAGCCGACGAATTGTTGATATGCATCGACCATGATTCCAGTATCTCTTGCACATGCTAAGAAATAATTATTGTTATATCATTTATAACTCTTGTGCCAAGATACAATAATTTAATCGCATAAATCCGTAATTTATTTGTAATTTCTATGTACAAGTATTCTTGAAAGTATACCTGAATAAGCGATGCCTCATTATATCTTCGCAAACTGGCACCAGCACTCTTCGCGTGATTACCGTTTGTACGAGAGCTTTGAGCAAAGCCTTGTTTCGCTCGCACAGTATAAGAATGGAAGGTCTTGTGCACGATAGGCTCACCATCTACAATAATATGTAAAAGCAAGCCAATGTAATGATTATATACACATACACACTCATAAAAAAATATTTTTAATACAAAATATGCATACTTTGAAAGACAGCCGCAGCAAAATGTCCACCACCGACCATGATAACCGTGCATTTGGACGTCTTGCCACTGTCGAGTGCCTGAATGATCATCTCACCGTCTTTCTCGGGAATGTCCTAAAACGTAATTGCATATCTCCCGATCTGGCAAGTAAAGAGCACGCCAAGTGACTCAAGGTAAATCCAATTTCAAGATGATATTTTATTGTGCACATATATATTAAGCATAGCAGAATGTACATCTCTAAGTGCGTCTCTAATTAATAACAACTAAATTTAATTAATGATAACAAACCTTCTTGTGATGCAGCAGGCATCGATAGATGCTAAATATATTGCCATCGTCGTTCTCGAAGAATACTTTGGTGTGACGACTGGCAACGACCTGCAGCTTCCGCTCCTTAGACATTTCCTCACATTCGGTGTCCGAAATGTCCGATTCAATCGCCTTCCCGCGTCTTTCCGATGTCTTTTTAGATTTATTGACAGCCGCAGAACCGCTCTTACTTGCCTGCTCGTTCTTGGTTTGTTCATTTGATGAGGCCCTAGTCTCCAAAGTACCAGCAT